TTATTTTGGCAATGGAAACAAATTCTAAAAATTATTATAAAAAAATATTTCTCTTTAATTGACAATTTTCATGTAAAATAAAGTCAAACGAACACCAAAAGATAGATGATCTTCTTGAATTTTTTTATTTTTTTGACAATGGAAACAAATTTCATCCTCAATACCAGTAAATTATATCCCTTTAATTAACAATTTTCATGTAAAACAAAGTCAAACGAACACCAAAAAATATTTTTATTTCAACATTTTTCACGTGAAAAATTATACAAATCAAACACAATAATTTACAATTTCCAAGAAAACAATTCTAGGCAATTCAATTTCATCTCTGCAATCAAACGGACCCTAAGTGTATGTTTGATTCACCTTTTTTCCATGGAAAATGGAATTGTAATTCCAATTACCACTTTTGCATTGCTTGATGGCCAATTTTTTCCATGGGAATAGCTTTCTTGATTTTCTTGGAAAGTGTGGTTTTCCATGTTTTCATGGAAAACGAATTGGTTTTCCCAGCTACTGCATCAATTTTTTATTTTTGGTAAGGGAAACAATTTATATCCCTAATTTTAAAAATATATATATATATTTCCATTTAATTGACAATTTTCATGTAAAACAAAGCTCAACAAACATAAAAAAATTAGATGATTTTCTATTATTATTATTATTATTTGGCTTTTTGGCAATTGAAACAAATTTCAGCCCCAATACCAGTAAATTTTATTCCTTTAATTAACAAATTTCATATAAAATAAAGTCAAATGAACACAAAAAAAAATCTTTTATTTCAATATTTTCCTTGTGGAAAATTATATTAATCAAACACAATAATTTACAATTCCCAGGAAAACAATTTCTAGGCAATTCAATTCCCTGAAATTCGTTTTCTAGGCAATTTAATTTCATCTTTACAATTAGAAGGACCCTAACAGAAAAGAACCTCCTGTTAAAGGGATAAAAATTTCAAGGTCGATCTTTTAATATGGAACCCCCAAATCTTAACATACCATCAGAGCCCATTAAGTTCTAATGAGCAATACGATCCGAATGAGACTCAATAAATGAGCATACGAATTTCGAAATTGATCTGCTCAAATGAGCCACCATCATGAGGGAATGCATATGTCCAACTAAGCATAAATAAATTTGGGGAATTTTCAAAAATGTCACAAATTTTGAAAGTTCCCAAAAGTTGTCATTTTCACTTTATGTGAACAAAAATGTCACTTTTTGGGTAAAATATCCAAATTACCCTTAATGACACTTTTTTAGTAGCATTTAATGCTTGATATGAAGGAAAGTGATTGTGTTGATTTGATGATTTAATTTGTATATTAAAAACATGGATAAATGTGTATTATATTGATTAATATGAATTTTATAAATAAAAAATGGTAAAAAAAAATTTGAAAAATGAAACATATACAAATATATCTTCTTTTACCATACAAACTCTAAATTTTCTCTGTCTTCTTCATTTTCATTGATGAAGAAGATATTTCTCTTACATTCATCATTCAATTTGAGAGGTCGACTATTAAAAATTATTTATATTTTACTCTTATAGCTTACTAATTTGTAAATGTTAAATACAACATGGTGATACTAATGACCACACTTAATGTGCTATGTTGAAGAATCTGTTCCACCCACTGTCGTTTGCTTCTCGACATTTTGGACAGTTCGTCGAATTTCATATTTACAAACCGTCAGATTAGACGTTTGAAATGTGGAACCCGACATTTACAAACTGTCAAGATATACAACTGAACTGTTGAATTGGACACTCGAAACTATTGAAACTACTCAAGAGGCGGAACGTTCGCCAACCACTCATCATCATGGTCGAATTCTTCTTCTACGAATCCATGACTTCGAACTTCGATGTTTCACTTGAAACATCGTCCAGGTTGGGAAGAAGAACAAGGGAAATGGGTCTCCTACCATTTTGAGAGATGACTTCGTCATTGTCAGACGATATTATGATGGAAAATTTTGTTAATGAACCAAGTACTGGCAAATGCTCATTCAAGTTGAAAGGTACGTTGCTTCTAGTGGACGAACCCATTATTTTGATATGGTCGTACTTAGCAAAACAGTTTGTGTACGTGAGTAGTCACTAGTGTGAAAAAAGTTATAAATGTTCAACTGTAACTCACAATGAAGTGATGCCATGCTTTTTATAATCAACTTCTTGGACCTAAGCAATTATTTGTGAAAAATTGTGATTCTTAAATGTTGTGTACAATTCGCTTTGTCCAAAATATGTTAAAATTGTGATTCTCAAACCTTATGTAACATTGTAATTAAAGACACCTGCATCTTATTACTATTGGTAATCAATTCTCATCAGTACTGAATTATCTCTTAATTGTAGCATGTTCCATAATCAAGTTTTTGATATTGAAATAAATTATGGATTGAGCTTCAATCATGACATTAAAAATATTAACAAATGTTGTTATCCTTTAATCGAACATAACAATGAATCCATGAGAAACGACAAACTCATAAAATCATCCATCAAAATATTTTTTCGTGCTTGACACGTGAGTAGACCGTTTTTACATGACCGTTGTTACATCGTTCAAAATTATGATACTCTTACACAATTCGCAATAATCAATATCACAAAAAGTAAGTTAAAAAAGTAACGTAACGATTACACATTAAGAGAAAACAGAATGTTTTTCCATGCGAAGCCCTAACACGTATCTCCCTGGACAAAGTAATGCAGTCTTCATTGTACCTTCGTAATAGTCATCTTCCTTTGACAATGCAATTGTTTACTTCTACATACCAGACACGAGTGCCCATGTAAGCAACAATATGCCTCGTGCTAACGAAAAATGAGTCAATCAAGCATAATGTAGCCCATATAAATGGCATAAATCTCCATTTATAGGGGAACTACAACGCATAGTGAAGCAAATGTGTAACATAAAATACGAATCACAGTATTTTATACATATTACAACAACAACAACAAAAAATAATCGTGATATCATAGTATTTCATAGATGTTAATGCAAAATATACGTACAGTGTTTAGATGAGGTGAGATGGACATGTGGAACAGTTATGTACTGAGGAAAGGAACCGTCGTTTTCGACAGTTCATCTATCAAAAGTTCATCTGTCGAGAATTACTGAAGCTAATAACCGAGAACGATAGTTCAAGGACTACTGAAGTGAACTGTCGACAGATGAACTGTCAAGAAATCTACTTTTAAAAGCTGCGGAGCAATTTATACAACCAAATTAATTGAGGAAAGTTTTAAAGCCATAAGACTAACAACATCAAAGCCTACATCTTCCAAAAGTCAACTACTAAGTAATACAAAATTAAATCTTGAAGGTTCCTTCATGGAGGAATAGATATTCGGGAACACTGAATGGCTACCATAACAGAAACCATACAAACCAATTGTAACTAAGAAATTGGCAAAATTTAGAGCTTTTCAAGCCAAATGGAATCCAAAGTCAACGGAAATCCCAACCCATAACAAGCAAAGAACTACGACAACCAAAGTAACTACAGATTTGCTAAGCTTGTGCTACAGATTCGTAAAGGTAAGAAAACAAAATGTACAAGAAAAATTGGATGTGAATGATCGTCTTATATGAAAATGACATTTAGTGGCACCAATCAATTTCATAAAAACCACAGAAAAAATTCCAAATTTTAATCATTTAAACCCACAACACTACTCCCCTGAACCTGCATAGTAAAAAGAACAACAAAACTTACATAGAAAGAGAATGAATAGTTGAAGCCATGAAAACTCTGTGAAGTCTGATACGAGCATCGGAGAAGGAAGGAATCTTGTGGGGTGGAAAGCAAAGTTTCTGTGTTATTTCTTTCCAAATTGTTGAATGAAAATTATTTATTGAAAATTTGGTGCAAAGAGCCATTATACAAAGCAAGTACACAATGTACCGAAAAGTACAAACCATACATTTCAACCTTTAGGCTTCACATTACTTACCGCTTCGTCGAGTTATGTCGTGGTCGGTTAATGCCGAAAATGAGAACACCGGTGGTGCCTGAAAATATTTTGAAATTTCACTGCTCGATTCACGATAGGGATGGAGGACGAAACAATGTAATGGTTAACGACCGATGAAGGTGGTGGTGACCATTTCGCTTGTGGTTACTATGTCGTTAGGTAGTCGACGTTAGCTCGGTGACATCAATGGAGGCGATTTTAGGGTTTCGAGTTGGGATTTCATTCTGGCCAGTAGGTTACAAATAAGGAAATGAATGAATAATAGGCCATTTCTTGTTTTAAATAACGGGCCATTTCATCTCTTTTTTTCCCCAAATTTTCATCCTGACATTGACAAAATTTTTGTAGAATTTCTTCCATTGGGTCAAATCATTTAATGAGGACATGGAGGGTGTTTGAAATTATTTTGAGGAGCAAATATGTCTAAAATTGACATTCTTGCAATGTCCAAAAAAAAGTGACATTTTTATAAATGTCTTGCGAAAATTTGACAACCACTGCAATTTCCTCGATAAATTTCAAAGGCCAAATTGCACTTGAAATGGTGGACATCGTTGGACACAAGAAATTAAATTATTATTTTTGGAATCCAACCAAGTTTTCTAAGGCCCTGTCTGGCTGTGATTTTAAGCTGAATTTGGACCGTTGCTGATCAAAAATTGCACCGTTGGACAATTTTTTAATGAGAATATTCTGACATCTTTGCAGTACAACAACAGGCCATTTACTCTCATTTTTCCAATTTTAACGCCGTCATTACACACTCTCAACTGCCAAGATTCTCTCCCCCTTTTCCTTGCACCGGCACCTCACATTTCGGATATTTCTCTCCCTACAAACACCCGACGATGAACTTCCAGATCTAGTCGTAAATATTTTTTTCCTTCAATTAGCGCTTTGGCAGCACAAAGAAGGAATTTTTTCCCCGTCAAATCCTATTGTCTGAGAGTTTTTTTCCCCGTCAAATACGGACTCGTGTTAGGCGGTAGATGACGACGAACCTGCTTGCCGGAATACAGCTTGTGAGCTCACAACATGGACCCATATGTCCCCTCAGTAAGTGCTTTCAGTCCCAAATTTTTTGTTGCACCTACAGAACACACAATTTTGAACTGAACCCAACTTATTTAACGAACTTGTCTTCGCCGTTTCTTGTCGCAGACGGGTGGAAACGTAAATTCGTCCACCTCCAACCCTTTTCCCAGCATGACCCAACCAGTACCACCAACGCGCAAGCACGCCCAATGGAATCCACATGAGAACCGGATTTTCATTGCGGCGTGCGAGACGGTGATAGCCGACGGTCGCCGTAACGGAAAGTGCTTCACGAAACACGGATGGGACCAACTCATCCGTTTGTTCAATTCGAACTCCGATCACTGTTGGACGAAGCAGCAGCTGAAGAATCATTGGGATGGTCTTCGAACGAAACACAAACGTCTGATGGAGCTTATTCACAGTACTGGAGTGGAGTACATCTCCAAAACGGGATATATTGCTGCTTCCGACGACTGGTGGGAGAGAAAGATGAAGGTACACTGCTTAATATGGTCATTTTTTGCATTTTACAAATTGAATTGCTTTCAAACTGGGAAACTCGTGCAATGTCCTGCTATTGATGTTCTATTCACTATGGACCCTCCCCAGTCAGCATCTTCATAGTTCTCAGGATCCTGATATTCATTCTTTTTGCATAGACTTGCCACGGGATTTTCTTAAATATTTAGGTTCAATGATTGGAATTTAATCATGAAAATAGTGCGAAAAAAGTAAAACTGTTAGATCTTGAAGAAGGAGACATGCTATGCTGTCCTTATGCGTGTTTGGCCCTCGTAAATATTGTCGTCTGTGTTCAATATATATCAGTAACCCAGATCCAAGACTTTGGAGTAATTAGGTGAGTTTCACTAGAAATGTTGTGTAATTAGGCTGTGTTTACAGTCAGAAATCCTAAATATATTGGCCCCATACGGGATAAATGACACATTCAAGAGGGAAAAAAAGAGAATCGATCGCCTCATAAGGTCAGGAAAATAGCCAGTTTTATTCTTAAGATTCCAGCTGTATACACATGGGATGACGTTTCTTTATTATAAATCACCAACTTCTTGGAAAATCTGTCTAGAAGCTTAAATGACCATCTCATCTAAAAACATGAAAAACTATT